CTTTTTCCCTTTTCTTTCTTCCATTCCGGTCGGCGTGCTAGCGATGCTTCGCTGTTGGCAGACGGGAGGGATTAAGTAGAGGAAAGGAAGAAATCTGATCATATTTTTATCCTTCACTCTGCTACCCTCTTACTTTCTCTTAGTGGAAGTGCCTTTTGTTTTTCACTTACCACCCTAATTGCGCACTACCGTAGTGCATGGAGCTTCACTGAGATTAGTAAGTTACCATAGAAGAACCTGGGAGAAGAGTTACTAATCAAAGCCCATCTGTCGTCAGAGGTTGAGTTTTGGACAGAAAACTGGGTTACTACACTGGATATTGCCCGTTTGCTATCCAGGGGTTACTAAACACGGGAAAAACGTGACGATAACCTCTGGCACCTACATGTGAGAATATGGCCTGAGTTTTTCCACTCTTAATGGTATCACCGGTGTGTGCCTTTTGAGTTCCGGTTATGAGCTGTATGTAAGTGCACCAGTCTCAGTAATTTAAGATTACAAAGACTAAATTCAGGTTCCTCTATTGTGCCGAGTTGGAAGTGCTGAAAGGTATCATATCATTTGGAGAGATTGATCTCAATAGAGCTTGGAGCCGTTGATTAGTCTTGATTTCTTGTTTAACAATGAAATTAAGTGCACATTTTGGCTTCTCAGTGATACTGTATAGAAGTGTCTGAATTGCTGATTTGAAGGCTACGGTATATCTAATATGTCATTGGTACCGACAGGCGCACCCTGTTGGCCTCGGTCGGTAATCCTAGTCCATCAACGCTTGTTTTCTCATCAATCTGATATGGTCATCGGGGGTGTAGAGCTTGCGCCAGATAATTTGTATGCTCTCCGTTTCTCTTGATTTTTTCCTTAGTCAACAATTGATCCACCAGTAAGGGAGGGGGCCTTTCCCGCATGTCCCCCGGGTTTGTCGGACTTCAATGAATATTCTAAATCGGAAGGCGTAACAACGGGTGGAATACCATAACGGAATATAGGTGCCGTATGTCTGTATTCGATGCTGGCCAGCTCCGCCAAAGGAGCAACTTTCTAGAGAAAAAAGAAAGCATACAGATGTGAACAGTGAAAAGATGGTTGGGAGTTTTGTAGCTTTATGTGGAAATTAGTAGGGTGACGGGCTGAGCTACAATGTGGTAACTATGTGCTCATCGATTCTCAACTGCATAGACTAGTGGTAGATGCAGCGGAATTGTAGATCTTAATTCTTGGGTTGGGTCTTAATAAAATTTTGTACTGTACTGTACAACGAATGATAATTCAGAGGCTTCCGGTGGAATAAAGTTGCCATGCGATGCTCATTAAAAAGGGGGTTAAATCTGCAGGGGACAACCAGCTTTAGGCAAGCAAATTGGGACCCCACCAGCTTTGCGGGGTTAAACGGACTTGACTTACCGGTATTTGTAAGTCAAAGAAGGACACGGAAGGACGGTATCAGGTATTCGTCTACATATAAACCAAGGAGAACTGCTTTTGAAGAGAAACATCTTTCACCCAAACTTTATCAAAGCTTCAACTCCCTTGAAACACACCGCTTCTTACACATCTAATCTTCCACCTCGACCCACAAAAATCATCATGGAATACCGTCTTTTGGGCCGCTCTGGGCTTAAAGTCTCTGTCATTAGTTTGGGAGGATGGCTCACCTATGGTGGTCATGTTGAGAAACGTTTGTTCCCAATAGCTCTTTTATCCACAGGTTCTCAATTCGAATTATCTTAGTAGCTAACGCATCCCAGAAAAAACATTCGACTGTATGAAGGCAGCTTTCGATGCGGGGGTCAACTTTTTCGATACCGCTGAGGCTTATGCCAGTGGTAAATCCGAGGTTGTTATGGGTGAGTGCATTCGCAAGTACGGCTGGGCCAGAAATGAGCTCGTCATCTCCACCAAGATCAATTGGGGAGCAGCATTCGCCTCGAAAGGACATGCAGAGAACTCGGTTGGTTTGTCGAGAAAGCACATTATCGAGGGTCTGAACGCTTCTCTTAAGCGTTTGGGATTGGACTACGTCGATTTGGTCTATGCCCACAGACCGGACCGTTTGACACCTATGGAGGAAACTGTTAGGGCTTTCAACCATGTTATTGATCAGGGGAAGGCTTTCTACTGGGGAACTAGCGAGTGGTCTGCCGAGGAGATTGCGGATGCCTGGAGAGTTGCCGATCGTTTGGGGTTGATTGGGCCATTGGTATTCATCGACTCTAGATTCATTGATTTTAGGCTGAAATCTGACAATTTGGAAAACTGCAGATGGAACAACCCCAATACAATCTCTTGGTGCGCAACAAGGTCGAAAAGGAATTCCACGACTTGTATGCCAAGCACGGCCTTGGACTGACCACTTTCTCCCCTCTGAAAATGGGCCTCTTGAGCGGAAAGTACAACGGCTTCACGATCCCCGAGGGCTCCCGTCTGTCCAGCTCCTCCGATCCTTTCACCAAGGCTGTGAGAGAGAAATTCGACACAGACGAGGAGATGAAGGATCAAATTTCCACCACAAAGAAGCTTGAGGTATTTCATTTCACCCGACGCTTTCAACATATATATCGCAGACTACTAACGGCGTAATGATAATACAGCCGGTCGCCAAAGAACTTGGCATCACCCTCTCCCAACTCGCTATCGCCTGGATCATCAAGAATCCCAACATTTCTAGTGTTATCACGGGAGCTAGCAGGCCGGAGCAGGTCCTCGAGAATGTGGAAGCCGTGAAGCATGCTGATAAATTGACTCCGGAGATTATGGAGAAAATTGAGAAAATTGTGGAGAACAAGCCTGTATTGGAGCCTAGACGCTTTACTTGATGCGCTTTTCGGGCTTTTCGGTGAAACTTGGGTCCGGCCCTTGTGTATCTTAGACTGAAGGCAATAGAACACCGGGTCTGAGACTGGCTTGTTGGTCATCAGGTATAGCTTTGCCGAGTGATTTTGTGATATTTTGTGGTATCTGAAAAGGGGGGAAAGCATTTGTTGCCCCGTATCACTTTTTTTTTTAGAGAGTAATGAGTTTTTGGGTACCGGCTTCAGGGTACCGCAATATAGAAGTCTCGAGACCGTCATGGAAAGGCTCGCTAATTTTACTGGCGAAACTATGATAAAGCAATCGCTGGCATTTGGTAATCATCATTACTTCTCACTCGTTTGATGTTTTCGTCCGGTTGTAGCAATGTGCTTTGACTTCAGTTTGCTGTGAAATAAGGGTAATCGTGGGAGATTAAAAGAGAGATATTTGGTAAAGACTTATTCGATACAAAGATACAATAGTAAAGGGCAGTAAAGAAAATGGTTCAGTTAGTTATGAATATGATAATGGTCGTGCAGGGACTGTACAGTGCCGCGGGGGAACTTGACCGGACACCCTCAACAACGAAACAATAGGCAAAGGTCAACGAACAAACATATAGAAGGAACAGTGAGGGGGAGCAGCGGTTTTAATGGCACCAAGCTTGACATGGAAATCAAGACTCAACCACCAACGCCGGCTGTGGCGAGAGAATGCCGTTCAGTGTGCAGAGTAAGAAGCCGCATTTTCTCACTGCGGGTGTTTGCCTGGATGTAAAAGGAACTGGTTAGCTTCCCTCCAATCGATCCCAGCTTTAGTCACAGCACCACTGGTAGTGCATCAGTGGTACCGTCCACCCATCCCTAGGCCCCCATATGTGTGCTTTCGAGCAAGTTGTCATTTGTTTTTTTCAACTCTCTCCTCGAGACTTATCTACTCTGGAATCTCCTAGGATTCATATAAGGAAGCGTTTCGAGTCCCGCGCCCCCCCCCCCATAGCACCGAATCCAATAGGGGGGGGGGAATTGAAAGTCTTTTCGGCAAAAGCCAAAAGACCGAGCTGAGGCTAGAGCTGCTGCACTTATGAGAAACATTACCGGCTTTTTGGATGGGACAGGGAATATGAATTGGAAGGTTAGTGAAGCGGGTTGCAGGATCCGAGTCTTCCTCTTCATCGGTCAAGAGATTATCACACTTTCGAAGGTCGTACTAATTTCACTAGCTTGATTGGCCTCGAAACCTTAAGTGCTGCCGTTTGCTCATTGAGGTTTTCTGCTAACTTTTTTTTTCCCTTTCTTTCTTTCTTTCTTCTCCGCCCGGCGTGCCAGGGATGCCGGGCGTGGGCGTGGGGGATCGAGCAGAAGGAAGGAAAGGCTAGATGGTGATGAGATTATATCTCATGTGTTCTTTGATGATCCAAACATATTTGTGACTTCTCCTACAGTACAATATAAGTAAGATTGAAATCTACCGGTAGTGTTTGCAGCACCTGACTTTATTTATTAGTCAAACCTTCAGAATCTTTTTTTAAAAAAACATTGCATTCAAGAATTGAAGAATAGAGGAAATTGTTGACCAGTTCTGATGGTCTAACATCTAAGGGAGCTTGTCACAACTGATATGAGCAGGGAAGGCTTGGAGTTCAACTCCTGGCCTTAGTGGAGTAGTTGGGCATTCAAAAAATGCCTGACGAACCACTTTTTTTTTTTTTTTTGCTGGTTTAGGTATTGGGGAAGGCAAGATGCCCTTCCGTTGGCTTTTTTTTTTGTATGGTTGGAGAAAGAAGGTTACAGTCGGTGATTATCATAATCGAGTATAACGGTCAAAACTACTGACCACGATGCGCAGAGACCTGGAAGCAAAATTTTTTTCTTGATATCTGTTGTAGTAGTAAGTTACTGGCGGACTTAATTTTGGACGATATATTTCCAAGGTATGATACCCTTCGCGGCTCTCACAACGCTGAAAACTCCTATATCTCCTAAAATGCTAACGACAACCGGTACTAGTATAAGAGCGTAAAATGGATGAGGGGGTGCTAAAAAAACACTTGGGACTGCTTATTGCTAGCCCCAATAATCTAAGCCGTGGTATTAACTTAAGGAAGGAAGGGAGAAGACTCTGCGGCCGCTACGTGCATGGCGACGTGGTAAACGCCATGGCACGCTACGCTACCCATGTGCAAAAAGTCACTTCCAAACAATAACGGGCGCATGGTTTAGTGGTATAATTTCTCATTTGCAATGATCTGACTATCATATCTTGAGAAGGTCCTGGGTTCAATTCCCAGTACGTCCAGTTCTTCTTTTGCTTCGACATCTTTTTTTTTTTTTTTTTTTTTCAAGATGAGCTTGTGATACATGATATGTGTGAGCTGATCTGGTTGCGAGTAGGTACTAACTTGGGGGGTCGAGCCCGGCTGGTAAGCAGAATAACTCCAGGTGGGGAATATCAAACTAGTTTTGTTGGTAGGTTATATAGTAGCTGATGTTCAATTGACTCTCTCTCGTAGATGTGAGGGACACTTCTAAGGGCATTGTTACTATATAAAGACTCTCCGCAAAAGTCTTGGTGATCGCGTATTTTCAATGCAATGGCAACAGTAAATAGTAAATTTAAAATTAAAATAATTCAACAACCAAAGCCTCAATTGATAAGAGATGAAAAAGAAAATGAATTCTAGGACCAGCCTTTACATATAAATCAAAAAGAAAAAAAAGAAAAAAAATCCTAATATCTGGTGTACCATCCCTTTACCTTAATAACAGCTTGCCAGTTCAACCTGATCTAGCATGGACCTCTACAACTATGCAAAAAAAATCTCCAGGAATTGTATCCTAAACCAAAGGTAGCACCTCAGCTAGCTTCTCCTTCACCTTCTGAGCACTTTCAGGTGTTGAAGCAATATCAGGATACTGATCCTGTAGTCCTTTCTTAAGCTAAAGCCAGACATGCCAGTATTTAATTGGATTAAGGTCTGGTAAACAAGGTGGGTGTTCAGCTAACTCAATTCCATTTTCATCAAACTACTCCTATACCACTTATGTGGTATGGACTGTGCAATTGTCTTGCTGAAAGATTGGCTTACTGAGGATGTTATGAATGCATTTTTAGGACCAGAATTAGGCATATTTCAAGAAGTTGCAAGTTAATCTACCTATCTTCTAATTTCACAACTAAGGGTATGAACTTAAAGGTTCCTTGATTGCCCCCCAAAAAAACACTCTCAGGCCATCATGGAAATGCCTTTTCCCTCTACAATTCCTCTCATACAGTCCAGACACCATTTCTTACTAGCAGATCTGAATACTCATTTTTTTATAAGAATTGTAGCTTCTCTCTACTGAGTATTCATTACTCTAGATCATATCTTCAAAATCCTCAACTGTTCAATCTTTGTATGCCTTAGCTCAGGCTAGTCTCTTTTGAGCTTGCTCAGGTATTAGCTTCATTTTCTTCTTTACTAACCACTTCTTAATACTACACTCTCTCAAGACCTGGTCCACAGTATTAACTGAGACATGTGGTGTGAATTTTTGCTATAACTCCTACCTAGTCCAGGTTCTGTGAAGCTTTGACCCTCACACTATTATCCTTTTTACTCACTAGGAGAGCAGAGGTGGTCTGCTAGAATAGGGGAGGTTGTCTATAGTATCCCTTATAGAGGAGTAAGATACAAAATTTCATACTGTTGACCAGGAATAACTGACTATCTGATAGATGATAGATTTTTTTTTTAAAAATCTCAAAAAATGTAAGTATCATCCCTTTCTCAACTGGATTAAGCTGTCTGTGTAATGTTTTGGGGGCTATATTTATAGTTATTATGAAAATTCTATGGGGTGTACATGGTTGCCTCTCTTAAAAGTGATCGCTTATTCATCATTTCATCAAGGCTCCTGCAGAGGGACTTTACCTTGATACAATTCACTGGGAAGTTATCTTAGGTAGTTTATTGCCCCAGAGATTATGTACTTTGCTGTACCTTGCATAGACTAGAATGGATATTACGAAGGTTGTTCAGGGCATTTCGCTTAGTATTGCTACTGTTAGGCATATGGAAAAAAGGGCCAAAGTTACCCGGCCTTTACATAGGATTATTTCTACCATACCCCTGCAGCCCCCATGTAGGGACCGGGCATCATTACGGTATTACGGTCGAGTTGCGTCCCGACACTTTAGCCACAATAAATGGCACCTTCAGCATAACACCATATACGTCGTCGCCGTCCGTCCGACCGGATGCTGTCCGTAGGATATATGAGAGGGCACCTTTGGCGACTCATGAGAAGTGACTCGGAGGAATTTGGTTAAGTTTTGAGCAAGCTATTACCTTGTACATTAGCAGTTAAATATTATGGCTGATAAGTGATGGGACGATTTGGGAAGAAACCTTAGTGACCGAATATCGTGAGCCTATGGCACCGACGGGTAGCCATAGAGCCGAGCCTTTTGCTTTGAAAGAAGTAGTGCCCCAAGAGGGCCTACTCGAGAATCGGTATGAGAGGTTTTCGCTGGATAAGCTATTGGCTCGATCCAGAGCAAAAAACCCTATATATCCGATGGGCCTTGTGATGCATCAATATGCAACACAATGGCCGCGCTCATTCATTAAAGCTGATCACTTTATGTTTTGAGGCAGAACAATTGGTATAGTTGCCATTAGGGCGGCATACTCAAATTAAGTTCATATAGTGGAGAGATCGAAGGCTACCTACTGGAGGGGTGTTCACACCCCCCAGAAACAATAGGAGTTCGAAGAGATCAAAGCTAAGCAAGGCAAATATTCTCAGGGTCAAAGGTGTTCGCACTTAAGAAATTTAAGAGGTTTTTGACGGAGGTACTTAGATAGTATGGGAGTTGGTTGTAGCCCGCGATAACCCAGACGCGGAATATAAATATCGAGGTACCCCCAGCTATCAGAAACATCAAGCAACGGAGAAGAGATCTTATTAATATATTTATTACCTTACTCTTGAGAAAACTATTATTACACATATCCTTTATAAAATACTTCGGAAAATACGAGCCTACCTTAACGATCTTCGTTTTATCCTACTTTACCTTATTCCAAGAAGCTTATGGCCTAGACCTACCGGCTCTATCTACGGTTGGACTACCCCATAACAGCTACCAGTAAGAGTATTCAAAGTTAAAAACTGTAGCTTTGAGTTGAGAGTTTTCATCATTATGATATATCATATCAATACTAAATTGACCAATAGAATCAATCACTCAAAATAAAAGTCAACTAAACTCTGAGGACTCTGGGACTTGGATGTAAGAATTAAAATACCAAGTCTACCAAGATTTTCAAAGTTCTCTATCTTTCTTTACCAGTTTGGTCCTGTGATACCAATCTGGTCCTTCCAAGCCTATTGAACACTCGAACACCATGAATTAGCAAACATTTGAAAATGCCAAGAATATCCTATAAGCAATCTGTATCAACTGATGCTGAAGAGTTCCTTGGGTTTTCTCTTCTAATTGACCTTGTTTTTAATGAGTCTGAAGGGGAAGATTTATAGAGTGGGTATCGGGGTGAGACTCATTCTCATTTAGGGGTTGGGAGTATGCTGGGTTTGTCTGGGATAGTGGATGCATTGGTGGGTGAGAGTGAGGGGAATGGGCATCCAATTATTGCAGAAGATTTTGAAGAGCTCTTTGAAATACTCTTGATAGCAATACCAAATATTCGGTATCTTGCTCCAAGAGTATCTCTTCCATGTGGTATTGGTTTTTGGTCAAATGTATGCATCATATTATATTTTTCTAATTATAAAATTTAAATAAAGGACTATAGCTAATAATATTATTAAATAAAATGTGTTTTTAATTCAAAACAGTTGATTACCATATTAGAAGATTGCTTTTGTTTCTTATTTCAAATGACTTGAACTACCTTTTATACCCTGAATGAGAAAATCAAATATGATCAAATATTTCAAAATCAATCACAAAATCTTCAGGCAGATACAGTATTCTAGCATGCAATTACACTCTATATCTTAGGACAGAGAGGAAACTCAACAATGTGTTTTTCAGAACAGTTTCAGATTGGAGAAGGTACAGCTTACCTCTACCGATATTGCATTATGATTGCTCTTTTGAGACTGCTTCCAACTTACCTAATTTTGCCACATTTGGGATCAAGTACCTATCGATTGATGAGAGGAGAGATTGAGCATAAGAGCAACTTTCCAGACTATATTAGTTTTCTTGATGGAACTAATATTGGCTTGATGTATTTACGAAGCTTTTATGGGGAAACCTATATGAACCACAAATGTTATGCACTTAATATTCAAGCTATATGTGATAATAATTTACACTTTACCTTCCTTTCTGCTGGATACACTGCCTCTGTTGGAGACCCCGTTGCCTTTGGAAATAACTCCCTCTTCAGGAATCCTACCTCCTTTTTTTTCTTACCTGATGAATATTTATTCAGTGATAAAATTTACAGAATTACCAGAAGATGTATGACACTATATAAGGAGCCTTTGGTAAGTCAACTAATTGGTGGCTACAAGTACTTTAACTGCATTTTTTATTTTTTATTTTTATTTTTTAAATCATGTATTCATTGTTAAGTACAAGAATCTGTGTAGAGCCTTAAGGGCTATGCATCCTCCGTCTCCGCTACAACTCCGGTCATTGAAATTTACTTCCAATTTGGGAATGACTCAATACTGAGAAAATATCATAAAGCTTTCTTCCTCCCCCCCATCTCGGGGGGGCAGGAGAACATACTTTCCATCTTCTGTTTGCATTTTGGCATCCCCTCCTCGCTTCCCTCTTGAGGTCTACCTTCCTGAGGATGTTCTTTCCTCCCTCCCAGTATCTCGCGATGTTGGTTACTTCCCTTACTCCGATTTCGCTTCACCTCGCTTAGCAATTTCTACAGTCGGGCTTTTTCATTTGGTCTGTTTACAGACAGCCAGGAACACAGTTAGCAGTAGGAGGAAACCTTTCAACAGGCCATGGTCGATTTCTCCATTCTCCTTTTTCGCAGGAGGCTGCCTTGTCAGACACAAACGCGATAACTGATAGTACGTCCCACCCAGTGAACACTTCCCTTTTAGACCTCCCTCCCTCCAGATGATCGGCTAGCACCCTACTGCCCCCCTATCCACCTCCCTGATGCCTTCCTGCCACTGGGATCCCCTCCAGAAGTGACGCCATCTCTCATATCACAAGAGACTACACGAGAGACATGGTAATACGGTCAGTCAGCTTCAAATCTACTCCAGCTGGTACCTTACTACCACCTATCCTTTCCTTGGCTGGTACCCTTA